TTGTTTTTAAATGGAAATTTTCGATGCATGTTTGTTTACTCGTTAAGCGTAGATGTATGTATGTGCGTGTAAAAAAAAAAACACGGTGGAAATATATCTACAGTCACCCAGAAGTAATCGTTTTTTAGGGTTTTTACAACATTCGAAATGTTTTCACAAAATTATTTTTAGATAACGAATTTTTGCAGGGAAATTACCTGCGCTTCAAGTATTCCAAAGAAAGGAATTAAGCAAAGGAGTTAACTATGTAAAGCAACTATCGATAGTTTGGAACAAATGCAGTTGGGCTCCAAATCTCAAAAAAAAAACAAAAAAAAATATTAGAATCGATAGAGATGATTGAGCTGAGTATAACGGTATACTTCCTTTTTTTGGGGCAAACAACAACAACAAAAATTATCAAAGGTTAAAGTTCAAAATAAGCAATTTTTTAAATCAAGATTTCTTAAAAACAGATAGATGAATCTTAAAAATTTTGAGCTCATTTAATAGGAAATTTGTTTCCCTTTAATATGCTATACGTACTTTATATATATGTTGTATAGTTCTTACAAAAATTGAATTAATGTAAAATACTTATAAAAAAACACCTTTTGCAGAGAACACCTTTCTGCGTAGGCGGCCTTCGGCCGCACTTAGGGATTATAACCCTCACAACGTAGCATTCTCTTTCTGTGTTGCGAAGAAAAGGCACTGAACACCTTTTGCAAAGAACACCTTTCTGCGTAGGCGGCGTCGGCCGCATTTAGGGTTTGTAAGTTTTTTTTTATAAAATTATTTTACATTAATTCAATTTTTGTAAGAACTATACAACATATATATAAAGTACGTATAGCAGATTAAAGGGAATCAAATTTGCTATTAAATGAGATCAAAATTTTTAAAATCCATTCGTTCGTTTTTGAGAAATCTTGATTTGAAAAATTGCTTATTTTGAACTTTAACCTTTGATAATTCTTGTTGTTGTTGTTTGCCCCAAAAAAAGAAGTATACCGTTATACTCAGCTCAATCATCTCTATCGATTCCAATATTTTGTTTTTTAATTTGAGATTTGGAGCCCAACTGCATTTATGCCGATAGTTTTTTAAAACCATCGATAATGTTGGAAAATTAAAACTATGGATAGTACCATCGATAGTTGTCCACCTCGCGTATGTAAGTTTGGTTTGGCTTTTGCGGTTTTTATTAAGGGCGCTAAGTAAACTCGGGGGACATTTATTTAAAACCTCTCACTTTGGCATAAGCAATTTTTGCAAGATATGGACAAGCTATTAAATAAAGAATTAATTAATGCTAATCGGACATTAAAACAAATTATATCCGCATACCAAACGGAGTTGGTGAATATTCGCGCCGAATTAATGGAACAGCGTCGCGTTCGAGTTGAGGCAGAACGTGAGTATCGCAACAGTTTGCTTTCATTTTGGATACAAAATTTTCTTTCGTTTGCATATAAGATCGACGAAAACGTGTATTGGAGATACTGAGCCATAACCAATCTGCACAGATCATGAATTCGAATTCTCAGTCCGGTATCCGCGCACAAAGTGGTAGGAGGGAACAAGTGCAGGGATCACACGCCTTGGAAGCACACAGCTTGTTTCAGACTTTCGACGCTCAAGTGCCATGTGCCGACAACAAAGTGTAGTACATATGTATGTCGACGTTGGCGAAGAAAATCAAAGCGGGAGTGACATGGATTTGGATAATTAATTAAATGACGGAGGTGGTATAGATACGGTGACCATTCGTACCGATTTTGACGGGACAGTACCAATTTTTAGAAAATTGTCCCGCTGAATATTTTTTTAAAAGTCGGGACGTATAAGTGTCCAGATTTTTTATATTTGTACGGATTATGTCCCGATTTTCAGTGTTTTCTTTATTAATCAGAGAACATAGAATATAAGCGAGCCGTAAACATTGGTTATATTTTATTTCAAATTGGTGCCCTCCCTATGTTGCAGTCCATCACTCTTGGCTGAGTTTTTTATCTAAGCTTTTTATAATTATTTGTTAATTTTTGTTTTTTTCATGAATTTAGTGAGAATAAAAAAATAATGATACTAACTTCATCAAAAAAATCATGGATATAAAAAATTTAAGCTTTAGATACAGTGGTAAAAATATAAATAGGGAAGAGACGTTTCAGAATTATTCGGCTATTACCCTTTCGATTATTTAATTTTTATGAAGTGTAGCTCGTTATTTAACAAAGACCATGCGAGTCAAAATTTCAAACGTTGTACAAAAATTATCAAAGTTCAACAAAGTTTCAACAAAATTTTGAGCTTTTTAGATTTCGTAGACACTTTTCGAGTGTTCAGTTTTGTAGCCCATTCAATTCAAAGTGAAAATTTTAAGTAGCTGGGACTTACAGTTAATTTTGGTAATATTTTTCCTCATTTTCTCCATACAAAAAAATTGTCGAACATACTTTGTATGGAAAAAAACGCTCGAACAAAAAAATTGCTAAAACAACACTAACAGGGGGTGTTGAGGAAGTGCTCATTGACCGATATCTTCAACATTTTGTGTAGAAATGCTAATAGTTTCGAAGTTATTTGTTGTTAAAATTTCCCCATTACTTTTTGTTTTTTTTATATAAACACTGCACTAATCACTTTTCTTTTCATAAATAGATCATCTTCATAAACAAATGAATGCACGTATTTTTTTTCTAAATATTTAACAATTAATGCTTATAAAAGTGTTCTTAATGTTGAAACGTTAATAAAAACGTTAAACGTTTAATTTGAAGTGTGTTGGCAATGCCATAATAAGCAGTCAGCAGCGTTGGCGTTTTGATAAAATTGTATCATTTTGATACTTTTTTTTCTAAACTGTAAGATTTGATACTTTGATACATTTTTGTTCACAAATGTCCCATTTTGATACTTTTGAATGGCAGAAATGAATTTTTGAAAACTATGAATAATATAACGAGTTTAAAGGCAAACATTTTTTTACTTGTTATTTAAAGTCTTAAAATTTATATATAGATATTAATAAGTTTGATTTGGTACCTATTATAAGGGAAATATAACCCGGAACTTCTTTGCAAACGCCGCTGTTATAGGGCCCCTAAGCCACACAAAAACATTGCGCAATATCGGGCTTAACAGGCTAACCTAATATTCGCGGCTTGAGTTTTGGTACGCATGCCGTCGAATTTGTTTTTTTGCGTCACCCGAAATTGACTTGCATGCGTTTGCATTTGATTTCATTGAGCGAAACGTCAAAT